ACTGAGAGGCAGCAGGGGCTCCTCTGTTGCCCGCCCCACAGCGGGTTCCTCCTGTATCAGACCCCATTGCCCAAGGGACAAGCCAACAGGCACTGTGATGTGCCATGATGAACGGTTGGTGGCTCTGCTTAGACTGGTCCAGTTATCAGCTGTAGAGCCGAGTGAACTGGGCCAGATGTTGGGACTAAGAATGCCCAGGAAAGTGCAGAGTCCAGGCCACAAATAGCTCTTTTCCCTCTACAAGGAGACAGTGCAAACTCCCACCTGAAGCTCATATTGGCAGAGGATGATTTTCAATACCCAAATCCAGCAGATCAACCCCTTTCCAGCTACTACCAAGAACACATCCAAGCAATCCAGCCAGGCTCCACGAGCAGCCTCAACGCCCTCCACTCCTCCACCTGCACGCTGCTTCCCATGGGCACAGACACACAGGGAGTGACAGCCTTTTTGCTGCTTTGGTCCCAACCCAGCAATTCCACAGCCTTCCTTCTGCTACTGGAGGATGTGTTCTCAAGACTGATGTGTGTATAGTCGCTCATCAAGTGACACTGTCCTTAGCCCTGTCCTGACTGCCCAATTGTAGCCTTCATTATAGCCTATGAGAATCCATGGTGTCCCCATCAATCACCCACACACACAGAGAGAGTCTGCACTATGGCATTTAACACTGTAATTGTTACTTCAATTGCTTATCTCCCACACTACACTGTGGGCCCTCGGGGGCAGAGACTGAGTCCACCTAGACTCCAGTTTCCTTGCGCCTGCCCAGTGCCTGGCACTGGGCTCCACAAGGTGATTCTGCTAGGTAGTTGAGAAAGTAGTCTTTTCCTCCATGGATACAGAGAGATCAGGGATATTATCTTCTCTGTGTGATACCACTTTACAAATCTCTCTATCATTTCTCTCAACTGCGTGTGAATCTACAATTATCTTCAAAATTGTAATTAATATTTATTTGAATTCATTCAAAAGGTCCCTGCTGTCCCGTAAAGCCTTGATGTATTTCTCCTGCAGGGACAGGAGATGGATACCCCTGAAAGACATGACTTGACTCCTTATCCCATCACCAAAACCTGAGATCCAGAATCTGTACAAGGTCTCCTCCCTGGAAGTGCCATGAGTGTGAATCAAGAGTGCATTGCCCAGTGTGAATTCTGCTCAGCTTGACCCTGACCCTGGGAACCACTGTGTCTCACAGCAAAGGAGAATCATCAAGGCTGGTGTGCTCCTTCCCTCCAAATCAATCCACTTCCATCTCTTCTCCTGCCCCATGGCCCTTGACCAAAGTGCTAATATGCCCTGTGGTTAGTGTCCCGAAGGTTAACAGAACATTGACTGTGAGTCAGACCATCTGACAAGTGTTCAGGAAACAAGACAGGCTCAGTGGGAAAGGATAAAAGAATGGTAATTCCCAAACAACTGGATATTAGTCTCTGTATATTTTACAAGATGTTTTGAGAGGGTCACAAAAAAAGAAGAACCAAAGTCTGACTAGGGATGTCAGGGAAGTCTCCCCAGGCTGGACAGCCTTGGAGCTGAGACTTGCAAGATGTGCAGGGACTAGGCAAGGAGGCAAAGTGAGGAAGGGAACTTTAAGGGGGGAAGACCAACAAGTGCAAATGTCGGAATCAGCATGGCTGTTTCTGGAAATACCAGAATATTGCCTCCATCCAAGGGAGCGTGCATTGACCTAAGAAACCAAGGATGAGGCTGAAGTTAAGACAGGCAAAGGCCAGATGATGGACAACCAGGAGCTCCCTTTATCAGGAACCTGGACTTCTAGCTTTCAAATCAATGATGAGGGGGAATTAATAGTGTAGCTCTTATATGACAGGTGTTTAGCCTAGCAGTAAGATGCCCACATCCCATATTAGAATACCTGGGTTGGAGGCCGGCACTGTGATGCATAGCTATTGGCTATGAGAACCTTTGGAGAGTGAATTAGCAGATGCAAGCTCTCCTTCCCCCATCCCCACCCCCATATCTCTGCCTCTCAAAAAAAAATGTACCTTTGACATTATTTTTTCCAAAAAGCTTGCACCCAAATTTATGGCGGTATTAGTAAATCAGTCTACATGATCCCATAAACAGCTGAATTTTATCTGAGTGCTAATTCATGTGGGTCACATGACTTTCCACCAACTCCATATGTTACTAGGAGGCCATTGCTTAACAGAATTGCTGGGGCATAAAAAGGAAGGAGCCATACATGACTCCCTATAGCTCCTTGGCTATAAACTCTCCACAGACAGTAACAGGGTGAGTCACAGCAAAAGCATTTCTGCTGTGAAGTACTTTCTTGAGATTGTCATGGTCACCAAGGAGAAGCCATATCCTCGTGGCACTCAGCCAGCATACCCAGGCGTCTACTGAGCAGACACTCTTCCCTTTGACTGGACGCAATTGGCTTCATTGCTTCCTGGATCAGTTTCCATTACAAGGACTGCGCATAGAGATGAGGACACACCCTGTGTTCACATGCCAAGTTAACCACTTATGAACTGTATGACACGGGGCAAGGTGTTCCTGAGCCTCAGTTTCCCCATCTGAAACACAGAAATAAGCATTCTTACCTCCGAATGTTAGTGAACAGTGCAATGCTTACAGAGCACCCAAGAAGAGACTCTCAAAGAAACAAGTGTTATTATGGTCGGGGATCAAATCCTGTCTTCAGACTAGATCTTCAAAAAGGTGAACAGGAAGTGCTGAGGACTTCAGATCTCCAAGCTTTCTCCCCACCACGTGGGTATCCATCACTCCTGTGCGTGCGCCAGCTCTAGCAAGGAGGGGCTGGCGAGCTGAGGGTCTTCCTAGCCTGAGCACTTGCCTACCTCTGACTCCTGAGCTCATAGGGATGGCGACTTTTCTCCTGCATGACACTTTCATTGCCATCAAGGTCGTTGTCCAAGGACCTGAGGTTGGAGGATTGAAGGTCAATATTGGCACAAATCTGTTTCTAATCTAGTCACTTCAATAAGAGACAGAAGCAAATATCTCCCTGTCCATTGCTAATGGACTCAACCCAGTAGGAAAAACAAGGAAAAGAAATTAATAGATATTAAGAGGCTCCCACATGCCATGGCAGCCCAGATAATCTTGGAGGACCAGCTTCAAATAAATAGCCGTAACCTCAGTTAATTTGAAGTCCTGATGTCAAATACTGAGCAACATGATGGAGTTGCCAAGGTATTCTGCCCACATCTCATCAGGGAGTGAGTGAGTCCTCTGGCCCATTGAGACTCTGAGGTTACCACAAAGAATGGCGACCCTCTTATAGGATGCATATTTCCAGAGTGATTGTAGGCCGCTGTGTTAAAGTTAGAAAAAAGCAGCTCTCCACATGCATGGTTTTTTTTGTTTGTTTGTTTGTTTGTTTGTTTGTTTTGACAGGCAGAGTGGACAGTGAGAGTGAGAGAGACAGAGAGAAAGGTCTTCCTTTTTGCCGTTGGTTCACCCTCCAATGGCCACCACAGCCGGCGCGCTGCGGCCGGCGCACCACGCTGATCAGAAGCCAGGCGCCAGGTGCTTCCTCCTGGTCTCCCATGGGGTGCAGGGCCCAAGCACTTGGGCCATCCTCCACTGCACTCCGGGCCACAGCAGAGAGCTGGCCTGGAAGAGGGGCAACCGGGACAGAATCCAGCGCCCCGACCGGGACTAGAACCCTTGTGCCAGCGCCTCAAGGCGGAGGATTAGCCTAGTGAGCCGCAGCGCCGGCAGCGCCGGCTCACATGCATGGTCTTTTACAGAGGACACAACAGTATTTTAGAGGGCACAGTGGAGGAGAAATTCAGCTTCCACACAAATCAAGTGATAAAGACAAACCCCTTTCATCTCCTCTGAATCAGCTCTTCAGAGTAAGGACCATCTATGATTATGATTAGTAATAATGACTCGGGCAAGAACCATGTGTCTCAGGATCCACCGCTAGGATCAGAGGGAAGGGAACATGCCAGAGGGCCCTGGAGGAAGAGTCAGCATGGAATCAGGGCTGCCTCCTTGTCCACACGAGGCAGGATCCAGCACCTGGAGGACAGAGGAGGAAGGGCCTAGCAACACTGCCTAATGGCCAGCCCTTGTGCTTGATGGATTGATTGACTGAGTCTGTGTTCACACTCCTATCAGTACTCTGTATTGTCTGTGACGTCATCATCTTTTTCATTATCGTGACAGAATGTGGCCTCAGTCACCCAGTCATTCTCAGCAAAACTCCCTGTCATCATGATTAAGTCCTAAGTCAAAGAGCCAGTCTCGGTACTAGGAGGAAAGACTGCTAGTCCAGACAGACTCCACCTGTAGTGCTCACCAGGACTCCCCTCCAGTGTGAACAAGCGGATGAGCAGTTCTCTTAGAGTCACGGGCAAAGGCCACCATGCTGATTTCTCTCTAGGTGCCCTGCATGCGACCCCAAGTCTCTGCTCAGCCTTCTCAAGCTGACTTGACCAGCAGGCACACGTCTCCACAAGTTTCCTATAGAGTTATTGAGAACATGAGCCCCAAGTCCTTCTGCTAGGCTGTGATAACTTTAGGCTCCTAATGAGACTTCATCACAGTATTCCCTTGAGAACTGGGAGGTCTGAGGGTCTTCATACCTGTGATTCATCTCCCTGATGATGCAAACAGTATGGTCATCAAGTTCCAGAAGCTTCCGGAAAGATGTGGAAACTGTGACTCCAGCAGCAGGGAGAAGAGCTGGGTCAAAGGGTTGAAAGCTGGAACGGGGTCACATGTGGTGCCCATTCTCTATGGGAACACAGCAGCAAAGGCCTTGCCTTGCTGTCTTAAGTGGTTTTTGATGAACTGATTTGTTAGTCACCCAGATATTTTTCACACCACCACTTACCACAGTGCTACTCTTCCAAGAACAAGGTCAAGCAGAGGCAAGGGGCTCTGGATGGCAGCAGCTTTGGGACTAGAGAGACGATTGCATGGCCGCCCTGTCCAGACAGGCTTCCCCGTTCCTCTCAGCCCATCCCACCACTCCCACAACACCCCTTGGAGGCCTCTATGGCTGATTCTCCAGCCCGTCTCTAGGTGGTCACTCCTTCCACTAGAGCCTGTTCTGGCTGCCATTATCACATCTGTTTTTTCCAGAACACCATCCGGAACAGGCGCTGGCTGCACATTACATACCACTCAACCCCAGGACACTGCCAGTGCCTCATACGTGGCTTCCCTAAAAGTCTGCTTCATTAGCCTTCATCTAAACATGTCTCAGCCCAATGCATTCACCTACATTTCTTGTTTAACCTCCAAGGCAACCACTGAACAAATTATCCTCTCTCTTATGTTGTAGATGAAAGAAACCCAGGTGCCAACAGGAGCCAAAGTTGACGTAGAAAGAACTGGTGGTGCACAGGGAGCCAGACTGGCTCTTCTCATGCCCCGCGGCTCCAGGCCATCATTCCTCCCTGTTGAGCCCAGATGAATGGTTGCCAGGATATCAGCCATGTTGCCAAGCCTCATAGCTTTTCTTTAATCTTCACTGGAGGAGGTAGACTTCCTTCCCATTTCAAATCCAAACCTGAAGGCCACTTTCAGTGCAAACCGAGAGGAAACACACCCGAGAAGCCAGTCCTATCCTACACCCACTCTTCCATTCTATTGCTAGAACCTACGTCTTCGTGAGCATTTAACGCATGTGACCATCCCGTGCCTTATAGCTCCAACAGAGTGTGAAGAGGACAGGAGGCCCCTCGAGTGAGACAGACCTGAGAGTGAATCCTGGTTCCACATTTTCTCAGCTGTTGCGATCTTCAAACAGATTGCCCAGTCTCCAAGAGCCTTGGTTTCCTCATCTGTAAAATTAGATTAAGAGTGCTTGTCTTTGTAGGCTTAAGAGATGAGGGGAAAGAATGAGTCAGAAAAAGCATTTTTAAGCATTTATGTAGATGAGAGAGATGATAGATATAAAGATGGTAGATTACATTAGAGAGAGCAGCACAGAGTCAAAATTTTTCTGTAATCTGAGAAGCTGAATGTTAAGAACGTAGTAAAAAGTGGACGTCGTAATACCCTCCTAGACAGCTGTTCTATTTCTGGATGAAGGATCTAAGGCCACACCTCTAAAACTTGCCTGAGTCTCCTCGGACATCCTGCCCTTAGACAGGGCCAGGCCTGCGCTAGGCCTCCAGTGAGCATTTGTGGACTCATTAACCGCCTGAATAAGAAGGGGACTGAAACAGCAGGGGTTTCATCCAGGGGAACAGTTCTTTGGTCTTTTCCAGGCAGTGCCATTCTTGTATATGATTTGGATCAAGAGCATTACATGGTTTTAGTAACTATGATGAAATTGCCTCCATAGCCTTGTGAACTAACTTAGCAATTATCTACAACTTTCTCAAGAAAAGAAAGCCAGGGGTGGGAGTAGGCGGGAAGGGGCAGGTGTTGTGGCTCTATGGGTTAAGCTGCTGCTTGGAGTGCCAACTCCCTCATTGAACTGCCAGATAGAGTTCTGGCTCCTCAGTTTCTGGTCTAGTTTCTTGCTAATGCACCTGGGAAGGTAGAAGATGATGGTTTAAATACTTGGGTCCCTGCCACCCATGTGAGAGACCTGGATGGAGTTCCTAGCTTGTGGCTTTGGCCTGGCCCAGTCCTAGCTGGTATCACATTTGGAGAGTGAACCAGAAAATGGGAGTGCTCTCCTTCTCTCTCCCTCCGCCCTTTTCTGTCACTCTGTGTTTCAAATAAATCACTAAATCTTTTTTTTTTTTCAAATAAGAATAATAATACCTTGAGGATTAACTGGAATCATGTGTGTTAAAGTGCCTGGTTTGATGCATAATACATAGACAGTGCTTAATAAATATGTATTCATTTGATGGAATGCACATGTAGTATCTGGCACATTATGCATGCATTATAAGATGCTATCCATTCAATTCGATCCTAGCATTTGTACCTGGGTCGACAGAGATCCTTGCCAGATGTTTATTTACTCAATGGAATACTTACCCAATGACTGGCACAGTAGCTGCTTGGTGAAGGTTCATTCATTCAGTGGAATCTTAGCATGGTGCATAGCACTTAGTCAACACTCAATAAATGTTGGTCGAATCCAACTAGGAAAAATGGAACTTCATTCATTTAACAAGATTTTGCAATCCCATAAATATTGTATATTGTTGCAAATGCTTTGCAAAGTGAATCAACCATTGCTGAAACATTCTCAGCTTTTGCTTGTTAACAAATCATTGTAAACTATTTTCCAAACATGGAATACTCCATAAATATGCCGTAACAGTATTGGCAATGCTAAACACCCTCAGGACCTAACACGCAGCAAGAGAGTGCCGTGTATGAATTAATGTAGAAGTCAGAATGGATCCCTCTTCACAGGGAGAAATGTACCTTCACAGTTCTTCCTCTGTTTGTCCAGCGCTCAGCTGGATTTTTCTGGAAGATCATAGAGACCTTGAGCCCCAAGGGAAACATTGCAGGGGTAGATAGAGACTCTCGGGAATCAGAGTTATGGTGAGAATGGATGCATATGTGAAATCATCTTATAAAGGATTATTCTTTGAAAGTTTTATTTTATTTAAGTACCTTGCAATAATAAAGCAGTTCCCTTGGGGAACAGAGGTGTGGATTTTAGTGGCATAATTTCTCCTTTCAGAGGCCACATTCTCTAAAACGATCAGCAAGCTAAGATGTTGAAGAAAGGAGGGTGATGTGCCATTAATAGGCCTTTGGTTTCCCCAGTCACACAGAAATTCAAGAGCAAGAGATGAATTCTGTGTCTGTGTGATGCCTTTATGGAGCAGACGATGCTTGCTCCTGAGGAATGCGTGGGAGTTCTCTGGGCAGAAAGGGTATAGGAAGCGCATTTCAGGTGCACGAGTTTGGAAAGGGGCCAGAAGCTGAGCTGGCTGGGCATCCGGAGTGACAGCTTAGCAGCGGTTAGCTGTGCCAACGAGGAAGGGCAGCCTGGGAGACCATCAGTGCCATATGCATGGAGCTTAGACTTTACTCCGTGACAAGTGAAGAATGTTCTGTGTATGCTACTTTGATAACACTTATCTCCATCTGCTTTATTTTAGATTTAGTTGTCCATTATTAATTTTTTCTCTACTTCCTTCTTCTAGTCTATCAGTGCCTTGAGACCAAAATGTGCCTGTTGGTTACCTTTATTAATATCTGTGAGTCGAGTTTAGCACATAACTGATAATGAGTACCAAACAAGTTCTAACGTAAATAACAAACAGCAACACCCTTGCAGAAGTTAAGATCACTTTCCTATTATCTAATCCTCCTCTCTGTAGAGTCAGTGTGTCATCTAGGCATCAGGGCAGGAAGTGGGAGTCCCTGTAGGTATGTTAAACAGAGGAGGTTTCATACAAGGAACAGGCTGCAGGGACCTCTCGAGGGAGCCACTGGCTCGGTGCACACCTTCAAAGCTCCGATTCAGACGTCTTCAGAAGGCTGTGGCCGCTGCTGCTGCTACTCCAAAGCCGCCACCAGTGCCTCTCATGTTCAAGAAGCCAGTGACTGCCTTACGTGCCGTAAATCTGAGTCAGGCCACAGGCACGCGTGCGTCTGCTGCCTCGCTTGCCAGCAGCAATGAGAACAACACTCTGGCTTCCAATACATTTCCAACATCCAAGCCTCCTGGGAGTTCATTGCATTGGTGGAATCTAATTTGCTGCCAAAACTCTAACTGCAAGGGAGTCGGGGAAACGTAGTTTTTAGTTTTCTAAGCCCTGTGATAGAGAAAGTGCCATAAAAGTGAACGGAAAATGATTCCTAGTTCCAAGCCAAGATATCCAGCACAATCAAGAATAACTCCAATTATTGCAGGCTTAACACAGGAGTTATATTCTCTACAAAGAAAGAAAATCGTCTTGGGGCTGGTGTTGTGGCACAGCAGGTTAGGCCACCACCTATGATGCTGCCATCCCATATCGGTGCGTTGGTTCAAATCCTGGCTGCTCCACTTCCAATTCATCTCCTTGATATGCCAGGGAGGATGACCCAAGTGTTTGGGTCTCTGCCACCATGTGGGAGACCCTGATGGAGTTCCAGGCTCCTGGCTTTAGCCTGGCTCAATCCCAACCATTGTGGCCATTTGGGGAGTAAACCAGAAAATGGAAAATTCTCTCTCTCTCTCTCTCTCTCTCTCTCTCTCCTTCAGATAAATAAAATAAATCATTTTTTTTAAAAAATCTTTTAGTGTTAATAGGGTCTCCCCAAACCAAAATGATAGGCACCTGCTTTTTCCCTCGACTCTTCCTGTCCCACTTTCCTTCTTTTCGGTTTTCTGCCCTTTCCTTTCTAAAGAATTCAGTCCTAACACAATTCAGCTGGAACGAAGCAAGGTCTATTCTGGGGATGAGAAAGTCACAGTGGTTAAGAGTAGGGCATCTGGGGCCGGTGCTGTGGCATAGCGGGTAAAGCTGCTGCCTGCAGTGCCAGCATCTCATATGGGCGCTAGTTCAAGTCCCGGCTGTTCCACTTCCGATCCAGCTCTCTGCTGTAGCCTGGGAAAGCAGTAGAAGATGGCCCAAGTCTTTGGGCCCCTGCACCCTCATGGGAGACCCGGAAGAAGCTCCTGGCTCCTGGCTCCTGGCTTCAAATTGGCGCAGCTCCAGCCATTGCAGCCAATTAGGGAGTGAACCAGTGGATGGGAGACTTCTCTCTCTCTCTCTCTCTCTCTCTCTCTCTCTGCCTCTCCTTCTCTGTGTAACTCTTTCAAATAAATAAATAAATCTGAAAGAAAAAAAAGTGGGGCATCAAAAAAATGCTTTAAAAGAGAATAGCATCAGGGGCTGACGTTGTGGAGCAGTGGCCTGTGACACCAGTCTCCCGTATTGGAGCACCAATTGCAATCCCAGCTGCTCCATTTCAGACCCAGCTCCCTCTTAATATGCCTGAGAAAGCAGTAGAAAATGGCATTAGTGCTTGGGCACCGATCACCCATGTTGGAGCCCTGGATGGAATTCCTGGCTCCTGGCTTTGGCTTGGCCCAGCCTTGGCTGTTGTGGCCATTTGGGGAATGAACTAGCAGATGGAAGATCTCTGTCATCCGGCACCCCACCCCTACCTCCACCATTGTTCCACCTCTCAAATAAATAAAATAAAAGACTGGAGCATCAGAGCTTCAGCAAGGTGAAAAAGGTGCCCATGGGGGAACGACCCAGAGAGAGAGAGTTAAAGGCCAAGAAAGGGGAGGCAAGCACCCACATGGGGCAGGAGTGGCAGAGTTGGAGTGAAGTAGATTTCTACAGAGAGCACAGGGATGGGGCAGAGAGAGAAGATAGGATGTACTCGGGAGAGACATCAAGAAGAAAATATGTCTTAGAAAATGGCAGTAAGGTGCTTCACTGCGGGAGTCACAAATGTGCAGAAGGAAAAAGCTAGCCTGAATCCCATCATGCTAATCCGGAGTTGGAAATGTGAGTGTGAACATGTTACTTTCAATATATACACAGGTAGCTATGGAGCTTAACACAAATGTAAGCCTATGTGTGCGCGTGTGCATCTGTGTGCTTCCTGGTCCTGTCCACACAAAGAGTAAGGGGACCATGACACCCCCACAACAATGAGCACATTGAGACTTCAAGTCTTGACTTCCAAATAACGTTCTACACTCAGAATAATCAGGGCTCCTTGGAGAAAGGACAAGCTGAGCCTGGGGCATCTTGTGTGGGAGAGCAAGGATGGATTCAGAGAATGGTGGGGACACGTTAGGAGGACTCCACTGACCAGGTCTGGTGCACTTCAGACACCAAAAGAAACAGTGAACGCCATGGATTTTCACTCTATAAATCCAAACTGATAACCAACTTAAAAACGCAAAAGT